CGCTAACAAACAGCAAAGTAGGAATTTAAACCCAGGCCGACTGACCCCTGAACCTGCACTCTAGACAGCCTCCTTACGCTCCTAGGCAGCAGGGATTAGGGCTGAGGGTAGAAACTTTGCAGCCAGCCTGACCCAGATTCAAACACTCAGCCACGTGGCTATGTGAACTTGGGCAATTCCCCGAGGCTCTGTTTCACCTTTGGTAAACCCTACCTCAAAGGGCTGTCCTGGGAATTAAATGAGATGATGGATGAGGAACATGCCAGGCCCAGTGCTGGCGCACAGAGGTTCTCGGTAGGTGACCATCCCTGTCCTCTCCTCGCTTCGCAAGCTCGCGGTCTAGTTGCCAAGTTGGAGATAAGAGTTCAGCGGAGAGCTCTGAGCTCTGCTGGAGCCAACGGGGAAGTCAGGGATCAGAGCATTTTTGCCGAGAAATGCAAATGTTTCCTTTGCTCCCTCTCAGCCTCTGCAACTAACCTCCTCTCCCATCTCCCCAAAAAGGAAAGGGGTGGCTTTTGTGCTCCAAAGCTGAGTGCTTGAAGCCCCTCTCTTTCCTGCTCCCCAGGAGGTGAGCAGTGGAGATGACAGGAAGTCACCAGGCGAGAGACCCTTTCTGGCATGTGGGCACAGAGAAGTGTGGTGGAGGGCGCTCCTTTTTCTGCCCTTCAATGGTCCGGATGGGGGAGGGGGCTGGCTGTTGAGCAACTGCTCCGGAGACACTCCAGAAGCCGAGATGAACATATGCCTCTTTCTAACAATTGGCCTGGGAGCCATCCAATAGATGGAGGGCGGATCCACACCTCCCGGATCCGGAGCCTGCAGCGGAGAAGCTGCCGCTGTTGCCAGACCCGCTCCCGAGCCAAGCCGGGGCTGACGGGGAGAGTGGGTCAGGGGTTCAAATTAGTAACACGCAATTCGAAAGCCTAGAGTTGCTCATTCTCTACCACTTAGTTTTCGCATAAACAGTTTTTTTTTCGTCCCAGGCAAACACCAAGAGGACTTGGTGTGTTCCACACGCGGTTTGCAGTAAGGCTTTAGGGTGCCGACAGATCCCGCCTTTTATCAGAGGGAGACTAGGCAGGGCCCACAATCTTGCAAGCAAAGTGAGAAAGTGCAGCGAAGATGTGTGAGGTGTGGCTGCGACCGGGGTTTGTGTTGGGACAGGGTGGGTGAAAAGACTGGAGCTGTGCAAGGCAGCTTTGAGGGCTGGGGAATGGGTTTACCTGGCGACCAAGGCACTCGCCCAAGCTTCCTCCAGATGCAGAGGAAGGGCCTTGATCCGTCTCTCCATTTGCTTCCCGTCTTTGTGTCAGTAAGCCGGTCAGTCGGTCAACAAACAGAACTTTGTTAGAAGAGCAAATGCAGGGCACTTGGGGCTACTAAACAAAGAAAAAGAGACCTTCAGGTCTTCAAATCCAATTAAGAAGACAGAACACATACATAGTGAAAATGACTTCGTGACATTCCCTCCCCCCCTTTTTTTTAAACATCAGGACCTTTTCTTGACGAGTATGTTTTATAAACAGTGTAAACTGAGTAGTTGTTGCTGGAAGGCAGCAAAACAAGAGCGGCAGGGAAGGGGTTGCGGTGATAGAGGGGTAATCCTGATGGCCTTCCTGTAAGAGGTAAGATGGGAATTTCTTGGCCACAAAGAACCCAAATTGAGATGAGGGAGAAGACCCAGACCTCTTTCCAGTAAGAATTTGTAAGACAACATCTCTACCCAAGAAAGACGAACTCCGAATGCAAAACGTTATTCTTGCTAGACGGGAATGATTACATAATCATAATAAAACAACCTGACATCGTGGGAAGACAGGAGGAATCTCCGCGAACCCTGGGGCAAGCTCTTCGTACCCCGTTGCCTACTGTTGGCTTTTCTGCGAGCCTCGTGACCCCACGAGGCCCCACAGTCCGGGAGAGTAGCATTTCTCCGGGTCGCATCCTGCCAGCCTCCTGCCCTGGATGACCACAGAACAGAAACCCTCCAACCCAACCCCAGCTCAGGACTTCGAGGAAAGCCACCGCTGCCATATAGGCCTTCCATGCGACTCTGCCCAAAATCTGGCAACTTCAAGAGGAAAAGGAACCCCCAGCCTCAGCTCTTCAACGAATGAGATAGTACAGCCCCCAAAAAGGCAGACAGGCTCCAAGAAAGCCCTGCAGAAAACTAGTGACCATTCCCCCGTCCCGTGTGCGCCCCTCTCTTCCAGGTCACTCCTTGAGCCCACAGCTCTCTCCCAAAACCCCTGAAGCCCGTTTTGGCCCCCGACTAGATTTAGGTCAGAAAACAGACACTAACGGCTCTCCTTTGCCTCAGTGAAATTACTAAGTGGACTTTATCGGGCAAGTCCACGCAGGGCGGTGGGGAGAACCAGTGTCCCGGGCCGTGGCCCCCGACAGCTTTAGAAGCCGGGCACCGGCCAGGGCTCCGGGCGAGGGGTGCCCATAACCCGGACTCGCGAGCCCCACCCCGGGAGCCGTGGCGGGTCCACAGGGCTGCCGGACCCTCGTGGCCGCGTGGACTCCGTTCCCCAGCCGGCCCTTCGCTTTCACACGATCCGCGGTGACTGCACCAGCTCGAGCGCCTTTAAAGGGCCACACACGCCAGCCGCTGCTATAAAAATGTTCCCGGCGGCACAGCTGCAGAAGGGGCACCGCTGAGCTGCCGAGAGGAAGCTCGCTCTGCCCGGCAGCCCTCTTGCAGCCCGCCGGCGAGGGGCCGTTCCCGGTGAGGAGGAAGAGAGCAGCGGACGGCACAGCACTCGCGCGGGCCCTCTGTGAGTATCCAGTTCAGATTTTGCCACCAACTCGCCCATGAGCCAGGACATGTGCTAATAATGCCCTAAGCCGGTTATAAAGACGTGGAAATTGAGGGGAGAAAAAAAAGGGGGAAAAAAGGGTCTGTCCTTCCTGGGATTCCTAGCCGAGGCCAGTCTGCTGCCGTGTGCGTGTGCGTCAGGGCTCTCCGGGCGGCAATGGGGGCTTGAGAGCCGGGTCCCCAGCGCCGGGAAAGGAGCGCGGTGGCCGCCACCGCCACCGCCCCGGAGTCCGGCGCCGAAGCTGCGGGCGGGCGGGCGGGCGGGCGGGCACCGGCTCGGGCCGGGGCTGCTTGGCGCGGCACTGTGCGGTGCAGCGGCGGCGCGGTGCGGTGCGGGCTTTTCCCAGGCGCCCCGGGGTCGGGTGGCCACCGGCGCGGCCGCGGGCGCTGAGCGCGACCGGTTCGCTGCAGCGGTGGCGGCGGCGTGCGTGCCAGGGGCTGGGGGCTCCGCCGCCTCTCCTGCGGCTCACCGAGCTCCGCGCTTCCCTCTCTCTAGGGCAGGCGGCTTCTCAGAGGTAAGCCGGGCCGCCGGGCTGGGCGCCTGGCTGGGCGGCGGGGCCGAGGACTCCCGTGGAACGGGCGTGGGGAGTGGGCGACCGCCAGGCGGGCCGGAGGGTTCTGGGGAGTCTTGTTTTCTGTTGGAAAGCTGCTCTGCTGGGGGCGAGGGGCCGCCCGCCTGCCCGCCAGCGCTCTGGTTCGCTCGCCAGCGCGCCCCCCTGCCGGCCAGCGGGGCCGGGCGCCCGCTTCTCCCGGGGAGACGGCAGCACCTTTTCTCCCCGCGCCCGCGCTTTCTCCAGCTTGGCTTCCACCGACTTTGCTAATCGCCCGGACCGCATCTGGACGCTCTGGCTCCGGAGCTGCACAAAGCTCAGATTTCCTTCGGGGAATGAGGCAAGAGGGGCTTTTCGGGCCGAGTTCAGTGGAATTGCGGGATGGAAGTTAGCGAATTAGGGCAACTTGCCTCTACTGCCCAGTCGACCTCAGCTCTCCCCTCCCCCGACACACGCCCACACACACACACCCACGCGCACACCCCTCTCCCTATAAACGCGGGCTGGCGAGCAGCGCGCCGAGTCCCTGCTTCGCAGAGCACCGGACTTGGAATCAGAGAGACCTGGCTGCGAATCCCGGCTCCGCCACTTCCTAGCGCTGTGACCTTGGGCAAGTTACCGCACCTCTCCGAGCCTCTCTAACTCTTCTCCTAGCGGGGTTTTAGCACTGACCGCAGGCGGCTTGGCTAGGGGGTAGGCTCAGCCTGCGGCCGCGTCGGATGCTCAGCGGGCGCTCAGTAAGTGTTGATGAGGCGCGGGAGTGGCCGCCGCCGGCGTCGGAGTGCAGACTCGCCGCGGAGGCCGACACCCCGCGCCCCCTTCCCGCCTGCCTGTCCATGCTGTCTCTACGATCAGTTCCTGATACAGCACTTGCGGGAACGGACGCTCAGGGCCCCGGTGGCCCGGGTGCTCGCGCCCGCCGTGCAGGGGATGCTCCTGGCCGCCCCCGGTTCCGCGGCTCCATCTGGGATGCGGCGAGGAGGGCAGCCGAGCTGTCCGCAAACAACGGGCCTTTAGTTTTCAGGTGGCGAAACTGACTGGTCTGGTTAGAGCGCGTCCAAGCCAAGCCGCAGTGCTGTTTGGATTTTTAAATTTCTCCTTCTGAGTGAGAAAATAGCAATCGAGATGGAACCATCCGGTTGGTGCCATTTTAACTTTTGGTCCCCCAACAGGTTAAAGATGAGGCCCCCACCTGCCTCTCTCTTCTCTCCTTCCTCTCCCCTTCCCACCCCTGTCTAGGCGGGAGGGGGCTGCTCGCCCAAGGGAAGGCCTGAAGCGAAGAGCGGGCGGCGGGACTGGGAACTGGTGGCCGGGGGGCCGCGAGGAATCAGCCGGTGAGGAGGCACTTGTTGCTCTAGGTTTCCCAGCCGCTTCTCGCAGCCGTTTCGCTGTGGTCAGCTCGCGGCTTGGAGAGCGGACTGGGACGTTTCCGCATTGCCAAGTATTGCCCACGAACAGGCTAGAAGGTGGTGGAGGAGGGCAGAAAACCGGGGAAGCAGAGCCAGGGATGCCGATGGAAATGCGATTGCTTCTTCAGACGCATTCAACAACACTTACTGAGCGCCTATGGAGCACAGACCCAGGCTGGGGTCAGGGTGGGTGGTGGGTCAGTGATGGAAGGCAGAAGATCTGAATGGACACAGGGTCTCTTCTAGGGGAGCTCCCAGACTGAAGAGGGAGGCGCGGTAAAATGGTCTTCCCCCACGAACTGATATCAGAATAGAGATAGTTTTTTTGCTCGTTCTTTCTTGAATTTTCTAATGTTTCTCTTTTGGTTTTGCTGTTGTTGTTGCTGCTCCTGTTGTTTTTTTCGTCGCTTTGTACATTCGGGTACCAGGCGGCAAAAAGGAGGGTGAAGGCTGGATAGGAACGGGAAAAGATGGACAGGGCCCCCAGACGTTTTTCTTAGGACAGGAAAATTGTCTGATACTGATCGTGCTAGGGCTCTTGAAGACGACATGTGTTACACTCCTTGTCGGTGATCACTTGCTTTTGAAATATTTTTCTACGGTTGCCTCAGAGAAGGAGCAGGGCTTCAATCAAGTGATGATGCGGGACCCAACAGCTGATATTTTTTCCTCATATTTAAAAAAAAAAAAAATGTTTACCTTTTTCTCTATTTTTCCCTCTCCCCCCCCCCATCCACCCAAGTAAGCAATGCAAAGATGATACAGAGAGGTAGTAAGTGGCCACTTTCTAGAAGTGTCTAAGCAGATTCTTAATGACCGCTGTGGAGTGGAGAGTGTCATGGAGAATCCTAGCCTCCTTGGAAAGATTAGAGACTCTTTTTAAGGTCCTCAAGATTCTCTGGACCAAGAGGTATTTATAAATATGAAATTCTACATCTCTAATTGATCATGAAGGCTCGAATATATGGGTTTTGTTTTTTTTTTTAAGAGATAGGGTCCCGTTATGTTGCCCAGCCTGGTATCAAACTCCGGGACTCAGGTGATCCTCCCACCTCAGCTTCCTGAGTAGCTGAGACTACAGGAGGGTGCCACTGTGCCTGGTTATGGGACATTTTTTTCTTCTTTGTAAACAGGCCTCTAGGAAAATAAGTTGAGATTTTCAGAGGGTTGTTTATTTTCTGGTTTGGTATTCTTTTGCCCTCATTCCCTTATCCTTTGGCACTTGAGCCAGGAAATCACTTCTTTGGAAGCCTTTTGAGTCCAACTAGGTATGGTGACTTAGCCAGTGGTCAGGTGAGGCATATGGGCATAGGGGTGCTAGATTCTGCTCCCAGAACCGCTGCTCCCTGACTAAAAAGCCATTGAATCTCCATGCCTCACTTGTCACTATAGATGGGAATGGCTGGACTCAGGTTTCTGGGGTAGGCATCCTAGGAAAGCCCAACGCTGGGGCTGTCTTGGAAGGGGCTTGAGACATGGAGGAAAGTGAGACATTCCTAGCTTCTCTGGCTCCAGCTGCCCCAGAGCCCCCAGACTACCCTAATCAGCCTGGCTTCTCACAGGCGTGCCCAAGGCCATGCTTTGGAGCTCCATGACATTTGCACTGGGGACTTTTTTCTTCCCTGTGCTGCAGCCTCTAGCTTTCTAGGTCTTCCTTGCCCTGACTTCTTCCCACATTCTCCCAGTCCCAGTGGAGGCCCCTACTCTCCAGTCTGGATGCTAGTAGCCCATTGAGACAATATGTTGTCTACTCAGGGACATTCCTGTCCTCCAAACCAGGAACAGTGCCACCCTCACCCCCACACATACAACTTGGGACTGTGAAGTCACTTGCATGAGGAAGCAGTGTGTCCCATCTTGGTGATATGGGTAGGTGGCTGCCTGGGCAGTACCTGGCCAATTCAAGCACCTTTCCTGCCTCAGGCAAAAGTTCCAGCTTGATCTCCTCCCTGTGCTCGGGTCATCTCTGGTCCTGGCTCTAACCCAGTCACCATCCTTGCCTCGTAGCTGCGTGGCATTGCCCTGCTTCGGGCTTTGCTAGTGCTTTGTTGGTCACTGAAGCCTTTCGCCCTTACCACTGCTTCTTCCTCACTTGCAGCACAACAGCTCCAGCTGGCAGCATCACTTCCTGCCAATTTATCCAACTTCCGCCAAGGCTCTGAAATGCCAACAACGTCGAGGCCTGCACTTGATGTCAAGGGTGGCACCTCACCTGCGAAGGAGGTAATTTTTGCCATTTTGCAGATAAGGCAGGGAAAGACAAATTTTCCGGGGTCATGGGCCAGGCCCTCCTAGGTGCATGACCCAGTGTCCTTGAGCAGAGAGGAGACAACAGGGCTATCTCTGGAGAGAATGAGAACAGCTTCTGCCTAAATGTGGTCAGACTGAACCCACTGGGGGTGTTGAAAGATGGCAGGGAAGGGAGCAGAGAAATCGAGTTGGAGCAAAACCACTCTGTTGAAGAGACTAAAGTGAGTCTGAGAAGAGGGACAGCAGGTGCCCTTTTTAGGATGGTGAGGTGGAGGCTATGGGGAAGGAGCTGAAAGCGGTGAACCCACTTAGGGCAGCAGATGCTCCAGCACTAGAACTGGGGTCTGGCCTCAGTGCTCAGAGCCATGGCAGCAAAAGGATGCTTGAGGTGGGAGCCTAATTTTCAAGGGGGTATTCTTGCTACCTCCCCACCTCTAGTCCTAAATGAAGTGCAGGTAGGAACCCTCTAAATCTGCTGAATGGTGAAGGACAAGCCAGGAGCAGGGTTACTATGGTGTGCTTTTCTCTGTCTTCTAGGATGCCAACCAAGAGATGAGCTCCGTGGCCTACTCCAACCTTGCGGCGAAAGATCGCAAAGCAGTGGCCATTCTGCACTACCCTGGGGTAGCCTCAAATGGAACCAAGGCCAGTGGGGCTCCCACTAGTTCCTCAGGATCTCCAATAGGCTCTCCTACCACCACCCCTCCCACTAAATCCCCATCCTTCAACCTGCACCCCACCCCTCACTTGCTGGCTAGTATGCAGCTGCAGAAACTTAACAGCCAGTATCAGGGTATGGCTGCCGCCACTCCGGGCCAACCCGGGGAGGCAGAGCCCCTGCAAAACTGGGACTTTGGGGCCCAGGCGGGAGGGGCGGAATCACTCTCTCCTTCTGCTGGTGCCCAGAACCCTGCTATCATCGATTCGGACCCAGTGGATGAGGAGGTGCTGATGTCGCTGGTGGTGGAACTGGGGTTGGACCGAGCCAATGAGCTTCCAGAGCTGTGGCTGGGGCAGAATGAGTTTGACTTCACTGCGGACTTTCCATCTAGCTGCTGATGCCAAGTGTCCCTAAAGATGGAGGAATAAAGCCACCAATTCTGTTGTAAATAAAAATAAAGTTACTTACAAAGAGACGGGCCAACTAGAGGTGTTCTTCATTGAGATCTAATGATGTGTACTATGGTCTGATGTCCCTTTAGCAATTCTGAGGCCCATGGCGGAGTTGTGGGTGGCTAGCTGGGAAGGAGCTGGATGGGATGCGAGGAGAAGGGAGGGTGAAGGAGGCTGTTCACTGAATTCCTGCTGCCAGTACCACTGCGGCTATCTCCTCAGGAGTACCTGGTCTCATTGCCCTAAGACTCCAGGAACACGTGGCATACAGGGGCTGGTTGGGGGCTTTCTTGGAAGAGAGACTGATCAGACCTTTGTGCAGCCTCCTTGTCACATGCACATCCAAGTCTAAAGGCACATCCCTGACCACGTGGCACACACTTCACCAACTCTAAAAGCCACCCCCACCCACTCTCTAGCCCCAATCCGATTGACCCACTAAAGCCTTTCCTTTGCCCTCTTGCCCATGTGCAATAGGCAGATAGGGCTGAAGAAGGATCCCGTGACCTAGGAGCTAATATTTCTCTGGAAAATTGCAAAAGCAACAGACTCCCATCATTAAACTGGGATTTGAGGTGCCTTCTCCAGTCCCCTCACATAGCTGCTCAGTCCTCCCAGCCTGGGACACTCTGAGCCAATCTTGAGTGTCCCTAACTCCTACCTTCCTGGCCCACCCTGTTTGAGCTTGCCTCTCCATCTTAGAGATACACATCAGGGCTAGGCTTGACAAGTTCAACATTTGGCGATCTATCCCTTGCCTTTCTATTAACTGCTGAGGTAGCAGTGGCTTCAGAAGCATGCCAAGTGACAAGGCAGTGGCACTGCACTGGATCCTGGCCTTGTGATACGCTGATAAAGCCTTGTCCTCATGTTGATACAACCCAATGTCCTGGACACTCTGTCCATGTTTCGGACTCCCAGACAGACTTCTTCCTTGAACGCTGAACACGACTCTAATCAGCCTCTCAGGACAAGCAACAGGCCTGCCCCCTAGCAAGCACTTTTAAAAGAGTGTGCTAGCAGGGGCGTTGATTGGATTCAGCACTCCCTGAGCACCTGCTCTGGGCCAGGCACTTTGCTAGACACTGGGAGCATGAATTAGATGAAGTTTACCTTTGAGGGAGTTCCCCATCTCAGAAGGAGAAAGACAGGCACAAACAAATTATAATAAAACAGCATTTCCTAGAACACAGGGGGAAAGTGCTATTTGATCCCAGAAAAGGAAACAGCTCCATCTGCCTGGGAAGTCTGGGGAAGGCTCCTTGTATTGAACTGGCTTATTTGTTTTCATATTTCACAAGTAATAAATCAATGATCCAATCTCCTTGTAAAAAGTAGAAGCTTTGCAGATGAGGCTAAAGTACCCTTTGACCAAATCTCTGCCTCAATCCTGAATGCCTCTGGTTCTCCACAGAGGTAGCAACTGTTTATCTGTTTGTGGTGCATCCTTGCTGGCCTTGCTCTCTGTCCTTACATAAAAGCATATCCACCCAAAGAAAGTTTTGGCTTTTGAAATAAGACTTGAATCAGCCAAGGGAAGAATGAGTGAGGTGAACAGCTATTAAACAGGCACAGGCACATGAGAGGGGCTACAGTGGCTGAAACCAGGAGTTCAGCACGCAGGCTATGTCACAGGGCTGGTAGAGGGGACAGGAAGAGATGAGGTTGCAGAAGCTCATAAAAGGCAGAGTCCATAGGGCCTTCTGGAAACATGCCTTCACCTTAGTGCCACCAGTCCTGTGGCTCTGGAAGAATCTCTGGAGGTTTGTGGGAAAGCAAATAGTTAAGCAACTTTTAACATCTCGTTTTTAAGATGATTTCAATAAAGGTGGATGGTTAGATTCATTTAAGGCTGGGAACAGGGAGACATGGGGTTTTGAGGGGGCTGATGAGGCAGGGGTAGGAAAACGGAGAGGGAAGAAAGGAAGCCTGGAAGAAGGTGGGGAGAGCAGAGGAGGCTTGAGGGTCTCAGGTCTGTGAGGAGAACACAGGAACTGGATTGGGGGAGCTAGGAAGGGAGAGGAAGGAGGGACCTGAGCTCCCAGGTCATAGGATCCTTCTTCGGCCCTATCTATATATTGCACATGGGCAAGACTGGGGGAGCTAGGAAGGGAGGTGAAGGAGGGTCTCAGATGCACAGCTCCTAGCAACACAAGGGCAGTGTGGACACAGGCATGGCGGCTGAAGCAGAATGGCAGGATGTGGATGGAGCCGAACTCTGAATGGCTGGAGGGTCCCAGGGTCCCTCCCCTGCTTGGGCCTTCAAAAAACACAATTCTGGCCAAACTAAACAGGTCAGCAGGCTGCATTCAGCGCCTGGTCCCCAGCTTGACACCCTTAATCTCTATGAGTATAAGCTCTGGAACTCCCAGTATGGCAGTAGTCCTTGGGATGGGGAGAAGCTTGAGCCAGGGGCCAGTGCCTTCAGGAGGGAGATGGGCTGCTTTGAAATCATGGGGGTGACAGGAGTGTGGCTGGGAGGCAGGTGATGGTGGGGAATGGCCTGAGCATCTTTAGTATATTAACCAGAGTCTCCAGAGAAACAGAACAAATAGGATAGAGACATACAGATATACATGTGTTGGCTCACAAGATTATAGAGGCCGAGAAGTCCTACGGTCTGCTGTCTGCAAGCTGGAGAATGAGGCAAGCCAGTGGTGTAATTTATCGGAGTCTGAAGGCCTGAAAAGGTGGAGGATAGTGATAGTGTAAGCCTTGGTCTGAGTCTGAAGACTTGAGAAACAGGAGCACAGAGGTCCAATAACACGAGAAGATGATGTCCCAGCTTAGACAGAAACAAATTCACCCTTATTCTGTCTTTTTGTTCTACTTGGGCCCTCAACAGATCAGATGATGCCTACCCACATTGCTGAGGGCAATCTTCTGTCTTCAGTCTACCCATTCACATGCTCATCTCTTCTGGAAACACCCTCTCAGACACACACAGAAATGTCTGACCAGCAATCGATATCCTTAGCCCAGTCGAACTGACATATAAAATTGCCCATCAAACCTAGAGAAGGTGCTTCTGAATGAGGAGGGAAAGCAGGAACTTTGGCAAGGCAATCCTGCCTCCTGGTGCCAGCGGCCAGAAATGTGGCCAACTGAGCAACCTCTTCTCCAGAGAGCTTGGAGGGAGAAGGCATGGGACATCCTGAAGGGAGAGTCAAGGCCCTGCACAGGGGCAGACGAGGACGGCATGGGTCAGTAATTGTTTATTGCTAGAGAAGGAAAGGGAGTAAGAGAACTCCACAAGGCACAGTGGAGGAAAGGCAGGCAAGTCTCAGTCTTTGAGACTTGAGGTCATGTTCAGACCTCTAGAGGCACAACCAGACACATTCATTCATTAGGTTACTAGAAGATTCCTGAAGCCAACTCCAAGTCCTGGCCTGGAATAGGCCCTGGGGGCTAGGAGGCAAGGTACCCAGATGTACACAAGTAAAGAACACTGTCTACCCGCAAGAAGCTTGCTGCTCAGAACAAATCTGTAGCCAAGAGCACCTCCTAGAGCAGTGCTGCTCCCTAGGGACAAACTAGAGAGCACTCTGCTCCTGCATTCCAGGAACTCATAGCTCAGTGGTGGAGATAGCCATAGCCTTGAAAGATGAACTATATTTCCATCAAGCAGCAATGCTGGTGGGGGCTTGAGTGGATGGCATGGACTCCAGGCTGAGGGGGCAATTGGAGCACAAATACAAAGATAAAATCGGGGTACGATGTAAACCAGAACAAATGCGGCACGATGTAAACAAGAACAAAATGTTAGAAAACCCAAGGCTTTCTCAAGGATGTCCCGCAGCTTGACTTCCTCAAAGGGCAGAGGACCCAGAGGAGGTAGGGTAGAATCAGATCCTGCAGTTGTTAAGACTTTATTCCACAGGTGAGGGACAATCTCTCATTCCACAAATAAGGACTGAGCACCTACTTTGTGCCAGGAACAATGCTAAGCACTGGGAAGATGTGGTAAGCACATTGTCCTTGCTCTCATGAAACTTCAAGCTTAGCAAGGAGATAACCAGTAGTCAAGTGATCATGCAGATAATTAAAATTACAAATCATGAGAAGTGATGGGAAGAAAAGGTACAGGGCACTATGAAAGGGTATAACAGGGGTTTAATCTCAATTGCAGTGTCAGAGAGGGCCTCTGAAGGTTTTTAATGAAGAAGAGTTATGGTCAGAGCTTGCATGAGGAAAATTAATCAGGCAATGGTGTACATGACAAATTGGAATTATGGTGATTCTAGAAAGCTGTGATAGTGGTCCAGAAAGAATAAAGAAGATGGGAAATTAGTTTGTTATAAAATGGTAACATTTCAATGGAGAGTTGTTGTTTAATGGGTATAGAGTTTCAGTTCTGTAAGATGAAAGAGTTTTAGAAATCTGTTGCACAGCAATGTGAATATACTTAACACTACTAAACTGTACACACAAAAATGATTAAGATGGTAAATTTTATGTTGTGGTTTTAACCACAATTTAAAGTTAAAAAAAAACAAAACAAGAATTAGCATTCCAAAGCAGTGAGGAAATGATGGATTATTCAATAAAAGCTTTGAGAGAACTGGATACACTAACCCAAACTTACACCAAAATAAATTCCAGATAAGCCAAAGATTTAAAAATAAAAAATGAAATCATAAAAGTAGTAGAAGACAAAAATGGAGATTTTAAAAAGAAAACTTTGAAATAGGGAGGTCATTCTAAGAATGACACAAAATCCAGAAGCTATGGAAGAGGCTGATATATTTAACTGCATTAAAAAAATAGGCCAGGCATGGTGGCTCACAATTGTAATCCTGACACCTTGGGAGGCCAAGGTGAAAGGATTGCTTGAGCCTGAGAGTTCAAGGCCAATCTAAGCAACATAGGGAGATCCTATCTCTACAAAAAAAAAATAAAAATTAGCTGGGCGTGGTGGTGCACACCTGTGGTACCAGCTACTTGAGAGGCTGAGGCAGGACGATCACTTGGACCTAGGAAGTTGAGGCTGCAGTGAGCCATGACCGCACCACTGCACTCCAGCCTGGG